CGTTTTTTCCTTCACCACACATTAATGTTAATGGTTCAAAAAATGTCAGGCTGAATGGTCGGCCCCACACATTTTCACCTCACCAAATCTGGCCCTCCATGCAAAAAGTTTGGACACCCCTGCTCTAAGCCGTTTCAGCTAGTAATTTCAAATGTGAAAAACATTGTTTAAGAAATAGAAATTACGTGGGACAGTAAAAAGTCTTACCAGTGTCAGCCAACTAAACATAATATAGGCACGCATTTTCAGAAGGTATTATGAAAATTTTTAGTCCTTGTGTGTAAATAGAATATTAAGCTATAACCATCTGCCGTTTCATTTTTTATACATACTGTGAAAAGATCTCTAGAATTTATCTAGTTTGAAAAAACAACTTTAGATAATTTTCAAGTTTCATTTTTTATTTTCATGACTGCATACTGGCTAGTTATATATCTCACTTTTCATTCAGGTTGTTCATTTCTAAAAATTGCTCTGCATATTCACTAAGGTTTTGTAATTAATGCAAATTATGTTTTTAGAAAAAAAAGTTGAAAACCGCTTTCTTATAGATTTGAATCTTTACTAGCATGTAACTTAGGATATGAATTATTTCTTGTAATCTACTTATAAATGCTTTAATACATGTATGATTTAACATTGCAGAATGACATATATGAGCTACTGCATATGTAAGTCATTTGGAAATCACCAAAACATCACAAGCTCTGAACATTAAGACACTGCACTTAATTATTTACATGTTTCTTGAACTAAAAGGATTGATTTGATCATGACTTAATTAAAACCATGATTCTCTCTCCCTGCCTAATTAAAAATATGTTGAAGGGTAGTTTTTTGTAAGCTGAAATTGATTGAAACTGTCTGGAAAGAACTAGTGGTAACTAAAGAAAACAGCTTGCCATCTAGTGGTTCAAGAACAACTTCTAAATAAACAGCATTCTCCTTGTCTAGCAGAGAAATGCAATAAGTTAGGCACGCAAGTTCTACCAGAACTTTATGATTGCCCTTTCATCAGATAAGATAATTGCAGATAGGATAATTGCTTCTAGTTTTTCATCTCTTGGAAGATTAAAGAGGAAAATAACAGAATAACAGAGTTAGAAGGGACCTTGGCGATCTTCTGTCCAAACCCCTGCTGAAGCAGGAAATCCTCCAGTATTGGAACACCCACAATTTCTGGAGGCAAGTCGTTCCATTGATTAATTGTTCTAACTGTCAGGAAATTTCTCCTTAGTTCTAGGTTGCTTTTCTCCTTGATTAGTTTCCATCCATTGCTTCTTGTCCTGCCTTCAGGTGCTTTGGAGAATAGATTGACCTCTCTTCTTTGTGGCAGCCCTTAGATATTGGAATACTGCTATCATGTCACTTCTAGTCCTTTTCATTAAACTAAACATACCCAATTTCTGCAACCATTCTTTGTATGTTTTAGCCTCCAGTCCCCTAATCGATCTTCTCTGCCCTTTTTCTAGAGTCTCAACCACTTTTTTATATTGTGGCGACCAAAACTGGATACAGTATTCCAAGTAAGGTCTTACCAGGGCATTGAGAGTCGAGGTGGTGCAGTGGTTAGGGTGCAGTACTGCAGGCCACTTCAGCTGACTGTTATCTGCAGTTCAGCGGTTCTAATCTCACCGGCTCAATCTTGACTCAGCCTTCCATCCTTCCGAGGTGGCTAAAATGAGGACCCAGACATTTGGGGGCGATATGCTGACTCTGTAAACCGCTTAGAGAGGGCTGAAAGCCCTATGAAGTGGTATATAAGTCTAACTGCTATTGCTATTGCTATATGCTTTACACAGAGAACAACCTGTTTCCGTATGTGAATTTCAAATGCAAGGACCAAAGGGATTTTTGGAAAGCTACTACCAATCACAATGGAGAACAATGATTAGAAGCTGGGTCTCCAACCCGTGGATACCTTTGGGATTTGAGAAGATCTCACAGGTTCCACTACAAGGGC